TGCAATCTTTAAAAGATTCACCATCTGAAACATCAGACATTGCAGTACTAGCCACTAGGTGATGAAAGAGGTATACCTACTAGACACCTAGGAGACCTTTCTAAGGTGGCCTTTCTAGTAACTGTGACAGAAAGGCCAGCATCACGGAGGAATCAAAATGGGTCCACCACCTACCAGTGGGAACCCATCCCTATGAAAGATCTGAAAAGAATTAAGCAAGCTATAGTAGCTTATGGGGTTCACAGCCCCTATGTTAAGCCTGCCACGCTTCTGATCACCCAGCTTGTGTGTAAGTGTTTTCTCCTGTTAATAAAATTATTTGTTTCCACATTGCATTGGTTCACTTACACAGAAGTTATGAGACCAAATTTGAATAACACATATGGAAATGAGACAAAACTATAACATACCACATAAATGTCCAGTTCTTATAATTAATATCATATACTGTAAACATGGGAAGTCATAATGCCTCCAGGAGGAAAGCAAATCATGAAAATAAATTCAAAGTGTTTCTCATAAAAATTTAGTCAGAATATTATCAGTCTTTTCTAAATAAAGGCACTGCACAAATTGAATTAAAAAATAAACATTCAGGCATGTTAAGTGTAAAATTATTTGAAATACAACTTTAAATTCCCCTTTTCATCTTACACTTCTCTTCAAAAAAATGCTTAATTGTAACTTACCAATATCTTTGTTGGGGGAAGAAAAGTTATTCCAAAGACATGCTTTACCGGTTTTGTTCAATGAAAAGGTTGGCTTCTCTTGAGAGAACAAACAGCCTTTATCATTGCTCCATTTTGACAGGCTCAGCCCAGACAGGAAACGCTCCAGTATTTAGAAAACAAAAAGTCCCTGCAGTCATGTGATGAGCAAACTGCATCTGATTTAAAAGGTCATCTGAAGCACCTGGTGACTTAGCAACAGTGTTGGGAGTTGCTGAGAGACCTGGCCTGCACATGGACTTGAATTTCTCAGTGCATACATGAAAGCTACACCAGTCACACAATAAACATATATATGGGGAGAGAGAGAGAGAGAGAGAGAGAGAAAGAGAAAGAGAAAGTGTTGTTCCCTCAGGGACTCTAGATACCTGGGTAAAATCCCTAAAAACCAGCCTCACTTAATCACTAGCAATATTTTTTGTTGTTTTTTGGGGGGACAGGGTTTCTCTGTATTGCTTTGGAACCTGTCCTAGAACTCACTCTGTAGACCAGGCTGGCTTCGAACTCACAGAGATCTGCCTGCCTCTGCCTCTTGAATGTTGGGATTAAAGGCAGCACCACCAAAGCCCAGCTGCACTGGCAATAATTAATTTGCCTGGGAAATTCTGTTATTTATCCAGTTCTTCATGAGGTCCCTTCTGAATTTATACTTAAATAACTTAGAATCACCATTGAAAAAATAATCTATGGGTTCGGGAAATACAAATCCTCTCAAGAAAACTACTGTGCAATGAAACGAATTGCCAAAGTAGGACTGTAACAGCTAGACTTTATTAAGGCCTCAGCTACTTAACAAATGCCTGGCACAGCAAGTTCAGCAGACAACACATATAAAACTTCTATCCTAATGGTGCTTTCTTCCATAACAATCTATTTATTCTTTAAAGAACTGTTAGATAATCATTATTATTTTCAATTCCACAAATTAACAATTTGCCCAAAGCCTCGTATTTAATCATGGAAAGAACAAAAAGACACCCAAAATGTACCTGATTCTTCAATTACAAATCTTAACTGGAAAATCTTCAATCCAATAATTTCATTTTGAACATTCCTGCCAAAGCAGGCACCATAGTCTGTGTGTGTGTGTGTGTGTGTGTGTGTGTGTGTGCATGTGTGTATATGATACATGAATGAGAGAGAGAGAGAGAGAGAGAGAGAGAGAGAGAGAGAGAGAGAGAAGTTAAGAGAAACCTGAACACAAAGCTATTTTCCATGAAGTCCTGTAGACATGGCCTCACTCAACACACACCGAACAGATACCAGAAGCAGTTCTGTTGTTTTTACTTAGGGTTGAAGCTTCTTCAGAAAAACTGAAGAGTGTGTGTGTGTGTGTGTGTGTGTGTGTGTGTGTGTGTGTGTGTGTGTCTGTGTCTGTGTATATGTCTGTGTGTGTCAATGTGTATGTCTGTATGTGTGTCTGTGTATGTCTGTGTATATGTCTGTGTGTGTGTCTGTGTGTGTGTCTGTGTATATGTCTGTGTGTGTCAATGTGTATGTCTGTATGTGTGTCTGTGTATGTCTGTGTGTCTGTGTGTGGCTATGTGTATGTCTGTGTGTGTGTGTGTATTTCTATATGTCTATGTGTGTGTCTCTGTGTGTGCCTGTGTTTGTGTTCTGGGCTAGATAGGAACAACATACAGATGTAAAGTCCATGGGAGAAAGTAGAGTTCATTTTACTTTTTATGAACATGTATTTTCCAGGTTTGAGTCTGAGTGCTTAGTATTTTTGCTGGGTTAACTTTTTTTGGTTTTGTTAAGTAGGCAAACCTGCTGCCTAAGTCTCCTGAGTAGCAGAGACCTTTGCCACCAGGTCTATTTTGGACTAAATCCCTTAAACATGACAGCAACTGCTTGTCTTATTTTTCACGTGGCAAAACTGAGCATCAAACAACACAAGTCATTTCACTTGAGACAAGCTCCTTTTGCATCTGCCCAGCTCTCTTGGGAAGTCATTCCTTACACTGAGCTACTATGACCCACTGGCTTCTGCTCTAGTCCAAAAATGTCTCTCACAAATTCTGCCCACACATCTAGTGAAAATGAAGACAGTGCTCATGACTATTATGAATACTATAAGCAGGCAAACAGATGACTAAAAAAATTATCTGAAAAAATTATCTGAAGTGGTTGAATTCAATAAGAAAAGAGACTGTGTTTGACCCAAACTCATATATTAAACATTCAAACAAAGGACAAGATTCTACTTTTAAAATTTGATCTTCGCCGGGCAGTGGTGGCGCACGCCTTTAATCCCAGCACTCGGGAGGCAGAGGCAGGCAGATCTCTGTGATTTCAAGGCCGGGCTGGACCGATAGCCTCCGAAACAATACAGAGAAACCCTGTCTCGTAAAAACCAAAAAAAAAATTTGATCTTCAGCTTCACTTATAAGGTCTTTATCTTATAAGCTTAAAGTCCAGGATGTTAGAAGAACCATATGAACAGTCCCCGAAGAGAATCTCCAAGAGCAAACAGAGAACTGACAAAGTACTTCCTCCTTTGCTAGAAAAGAGATGAGCCTAGTGTCACCATGCTCATCATTCATGTATCAGCACTTAACCTCCACAAGTAGTAAGGTTAGTAATAAGGTACAGGTCCTTTGGGGAAGTGATTGACTTACATGGGGATTATCATCAAAAGGCTGAAACAAACCAAACATGGTAACACACTCATTTAGTCCCAGCACTTGGGAGGCAGGTATATATCTATGAGTAAGAGAACAGCCTGGTCTACATTTTGAGTTCCAGGACAGCCAGGGATACATGGTAAAACACTGACTCAAACAAACAAACAAGGCTAAAAGAAATGGGAGAGGGACCTGGAACTGACTTGTGAAGCAACCTTGATTCTTATCTAAATTTAAACTGGAAAATAAAATTAAAAAAAAAGAAACTAGTTTAGTCCCTTTCCACTCTTCTGCCTTCTACCATACAAGACTACAGGCTTCAAAGTGCCATCTTGGAGACAGACACCATGCCCTCACTAGACACAGAACTTGTCAGAATCTTCATTTTACATTTCACAGCTGACACAGCTGTGAGAAATAAGCTTATGCTGTTTATAATCTGCCAAGTCTTGGATATTTTCTGCCAGCAAAGCTAGTGATAAAAGGCCTATACAGACCCAAAGGCTTATACAGACACCCTTTTCAATGTTCACAGTCTTTCCAGTCTTCCTAATTTCAAACACTCTCTAAACCCAGCAGAACAGAAATGTATTTGTCTAACCACTACTTTACATAGCTGAACTGGATAATATAGTTATGAAGAGTCCACCTGAGACTGAGAAATACAATTTAAATAAATTAAACCAAAAGAAACTGTTTTCTGTCAGAGTGTCTTGTATTTGGTTGGAAACAGGTATCTGCTGGGTTCACTCTGATAGTCAGAGACATATATTAAGCAAGTCTGGAAGCAACCTTTGGCATTTCTTGTTGTTATAAACTGGTGTGTGTGTGTGTGTGTGTGTGTGTGTGTGTGTGTGTAGGGTCCAATCTGACTCATTTTAGAGAGAGTGTAAAAAGAATGATGCTTGCAAATCCAACCACAGCTCTAATGAAGATGTATGGGTTGGTATCCACAGATTTACACACCTACTCTTCTCTGTGTTAGTGATGAACACAGCCTCTTGCATAACAGACTAGTACTCTTACTACTGACTTACGTCCTCAGCCCTCCGATGAATATTTTAATTAACCAGTTGCTGGATGGATAGCAGACAACCTAGCCAGACTTGAAGAAAGTGACATCACAGCCAGGTATACTTAGAGACAACTCAGTTAATCCTGATGTGAACAAGGATCAAATGTACCACTTCTTGAAAGCACTGACAAAAACCATGCAGGTTTGTAGGCATACAGGCCAAGGAAGAAATCTCCCTTTACAGCTCCCTGGTTGGGCTTCCGTAAGTGTGTCAATTCACTGACCCTGAGTATCTTCTTGATTAACACAAGGGCTATCACAACTATGTGTCTCAGTAGTTGTGAGGATTCTGTGTAATTTGTTTGAAGTGTCTCATGTCTTACAGTCTTGAAAGGAAATAGAGTGGGCACTTCAAAAGTGTCTGTTTTAATTACTAACAGTAATAACACAAACTGAGAACAAAAGATGATGTTTTGTTTCATGATGAGGAGATTGTAATAAAGAAGCCTAATGAGTCACTGTTGTATTCTATGTTGTTTTATTACCCCATACTTTCCTAATTCTATTCTCTCGGCCATTCTGCAAGGATTCCCAGCAACCAAAGTTCCTCTTGGGACCAGCAGAACTCACCTGAAAATGATGTTTGAATGTGAATGGATTTCTTTGCCTCCATATACTGTAGTGATCCAGGAAGGCCGTGGCCTCACACCCCACTGTTTATAACAGTCATCAGAGTACTTCTCTAAATCCCATGCGCGGGGTTCAAACATGTCATCAATACCATTCGTGCAAAAAGGCAGGATTATTTCTGTGCAAGTCTAACAGCAAACCAGGAAATGAAATGAAGAGATTAGTTATTTAAGATCATTCAGCTGCTGAGTAGCAAGTGAGTAGCATCATCTTCAGTGAGTAGCAAGCGAGGATCTGAACTTGTAATAGAGCTTCAACCCACCCCATGCCCTTTACATCACTGCCACACAACTCCTTTATTTCTCATAGAAAGACATGGCTGAAAGGTCACAAAATAATGTGTATTCCTTTCTTTGCAAGGAGCTTTCTTTCACATCTATGATCATAATAAGCATATTTAATGCTAAGGACAACCTTAGGAGAAAAAGCATCATCATCACCACCAACATCATCATCACCACCAACATCATCATCACCATCACCATCGTAGTCTTCCTGTGCAGATAAAATAATGCAATTGCAGAAAGACTCAGGTTAGACTTCACTTCTTTCACATGTCCACACAGTGCCTCCTTTCCAGGACTTGCCAAGGTCTATTATAGTGTCAACGCATCTATCTTTCCCACTATTTGATGGTGATATGATGTTATTTATGTCTTTATCTTCGAAGCATAAGAAAGCACAATCAACCATAAGCACTCACTGTGATTGGGGAAGCAGTGAGTGAATGAGTGAATGAACTTATTGGCAATCTCACAGCATCTAGACTTGAACACAGGTTAGGTGATAAACTCTTGTCTGGTATCTACTGTAGCACAACTGAATCAGCAAAGAGAAAGACTTCCTTGGGAGCCATACATGCTTACCTGATAGCCCCAAACCCGGGATCCCAAAGTGCCAATTGTTGTTTCAGAAATATTATTGCATCTGGACTCGCCTGAGTAATTATAATATACATTCAGAGCTTGGTAAATGTTCTGCACCAGCAGGGAATCCGACATATAGGGGTTCGTCAGATACTGGCACACGACCTGTCATTTTGGAGAGATAAACAGAGGAAGAGTCCGATATGTATATAAAATTACAATAGAATGACACAAAGAGGAAATGTGGTCATAATTTGATCATAAAGTACTCTTAAACATCTAACCCAGCTAGGTATGCTTACATATGCCTGTAACACCAGTACACTGGAGGCAGAGACAGGAGTATCGTGAGAATGAAGCCAGCCTGGGTTCCATAATGGCTACCAGAACAACCTAGCAAATCTAACTATGTTGCTTAAGTTGTTCTGTCTCTGGAGTATAATCTCCCTTTTAAATAATGCATGTTGTGCAAAGCCCTATCTACTTCCCACTCCGGCTTAATCTATATAGCCCTTGTTCCAGTTCAGGAACACAGTCCCATCATACTCTTTCCCTCCCCTGCACATTCTCAAATCTCTTTCCTCACTCTTTATTCTATGGATGCTGACCACCTCATCCTTTACAATGCCTAGCTTAAAATTCCCTCTGCCCCGAGATGTCCTTATCTGTATTTCCAAGCCTGAAACTGCTCTCTTCTTGGTGCTCTGCTGTACTCGGTTTCTGTTTTTGTTTTTATCACAACCCTTGTAATATTGTTTGTACTCATTTGATTCTACAATGTTTCCCACAGTGCTTAGGAAGGTCTCAGATAACGGTTTGCTAAACGAAGGACTGATTTTTTTAATTAGCGTACAAAGAATTGGGTTTCATTTTGTCATTTCAAACAAAATTTGTCTCCTCCCCGCTCTGCTATCCCCCTCTTCTCTCTTTTGTCCATACAATGTCACCAACCTCCTTTGCATTTTCACAGAGGAGCTATGTTTCATGAGAAATTTACAAGTTTTCTTGTGGGAAAAAATGGTTCCCAGTACCAACATCTGCGGTATGATCAGAGGCATATCATGCAACCACCCAGCTCATAAATGCTCCTGTCACCAGCCTATAACAAGTGTCTAAATTCTAGCTCTGAAGATCACAGACAAAACTCTTGTATTAGGAGTCACAATGGTGACAGCCCAGAGAATAAATGGGAACCTTTCTAAGATGCAGAAATGTTTCATATCTTCATAAGCTACTGACTTATATAACAAATATTACACATAAATTTGTGGATTCTGCTATTTGTGGATTTTTATTCCCCTCAAGAGGTAAGAATAATGATATAAAACTGGGAGGGGGAACACTCGAGGCAGAAGGATTCAAGCAAGGATGGAAGACAGAGAGATGTAGGGGAAAACATGGAGTGAAATAAACCAAAATTAAGCATGCATGAAATGTCACAATGAAGTCTGTTGCTCTATATGTTAAACTAAATTGTTTAAAAGGCATCATAAACTAGGCTTATGTATACTGTTGCACAACTTTAACCCTAGCACTTGGGAGGCAGAGGCAAATGGATCTCTGTGAGTTTGAGGCTAACCTGGTATACAGAGTGAGTTCCAGGATAACCAGATCTACATAGTGAGAACCTGTCCCCAAAATAATAATAAAATAAAATGCATCATAAACTAATATTGAACTTTATAATATAAAACTTTAATTATTTAGGGGCAGATGTCTATAATTTACCTTGAAATCTATAAAAATAATATGATTAAAAAGATTCATATATGAATATGCATGTGGCAAGTCAAATATACTTAAATATTATTCATAAAATTTAAGAGCTAAGGGCTAGAAATGTAGTTCAGTGGTCGAGTACTTCCCTAGTGTGTTCAAGGTAAGTTTATGAGTGTTCACTGTTCAATGTTTTTCAACTGTTTTGTATATTTGAAATATTTTATAATAAAATGTTAGGAGAAATTCACAAACAATGGAGTCATAACAACACCTACTGATTGTTAAGTCTTGAGTTTATAAACAATACATTATCCCATCTTCAAAATTGCCTACCTTACCAGGTAGATTACTGTTCACTGCTTTACCTAGATGAAACTTGTAAGGTCAAACCACTTTATTCCTGTTCACCAGCTAGCAAAGGGTAAGGCTGAAATTTATTCCTACAGCTCTCTACTTCTGAAATCTATGTGTTATCCACTGTGCTGTCCTCATAGGAAAGTGCCCCCTCATGAAAATAGAACAATTTCAGTTCAGTGTTTAACTGTGGGTGTTTACCTCTGCTTCCATCAGTCACTGGATGAAGGTTCTAGGAGGCATATAAGGTAGTAGTCAAGTTCATTATCAGGAATGGGCATTTAAGGTAGTCTCTCCACTATTGCTTAGCTTGCCAGTTGGTGTCGTCCTTGTAGATCGCTAGAGGTCTCACTGATGCCAAATCTCTCTTCAAACCTATGACTCCCTCTATTGTGGTATTTCTCATCCTGTTCTTCCCCTATTCTACCCCCAACTCAACCTTCTTGTTCCCCCATGACCTACTCTCTCATCCTCTTCTCCCCCTCTCTTCTTCCCAGCTCCCACTTCCTCCACCCCTCACCATGTTCCCAATCTGTTCAGGATCTTGCCTCATTCCTCTTCTCTGGGGTACTGTGCATATCTCTTAGGTTCTTTCCTGTTTCCCAGACTCTCTGACAGTGGAATTGCAGGCTGGCACTCCCCTGATCCATGTCTAAAATCCATATATGAGTGAGTACATATGAACTGAACCCCTGGAACCTTGTGATAAAGAAAGAGTAGTGATGAGCAAATAGGCAAAGAACGGGCTGGCAAAACCAGTAGACAGCTGACCTGAACAAGGGAGGTTCTTGGACCCCAGACCGACAGCTGGGAGGCCAGCATGGGACTGATCCAGACCCCTGAGTGTGAGAGTCAGTGCGGAGGTCTGGGCAGCCTATGGGGCCCTGGGCAGTAGATCAGTATTTATCCCTGGCATACAAATAGACTTCGTTTGTCCATAACACAAAGAGGGATGCTCTGTCAGCCTGGACTCTTAGGGGAGGGCCTGGATCCTGCCCTGAGCGAAATGACAGACTCTGGATATCCCGTATGTGGAAGGAAGTGGGGATGGGGTGGGAGGCTGGGGGGTGCGGGAGGAGGGGAGGGAGAGGGAACTGGGATTGACATGTAGAAGCAAGCTCTTTTCTAAAATAATGTATTAAAAACAAAACAAAACAAAAAAGAAAATAGAAACAGTTTCAATGACAAAGGCATTTCTCCAAATCATACCTTGACAACATTTTGATGTGACTTGAGACTTCAGTGAACTGTTCACTCCCTGCTCCCTCCCTCTCCACTTCTCTGCATGTCTATGTATGTGCAAGCACATGCTTGTGTGTACCAGTGTGGAGACCAAGGGTCCACCTCAAGCTTCATACTCAAAAACACTGTTCACTTTCTTTGAGACAGGGTCCTACTGGTCTGGAGTTCATCATCTATGCTAAGCTATCCCAGGGATCCTCCAGCCTCTGTTTCCCCAGCCCTAGGATTAGAAGCACAAAGACAAGTCACCATGCCAGCATTTTCACATGTTTTCTGGGCACCAAACACAGGCCCTTATGCTAATAAAACAATTCACTTAACCACACAAACCTTTGCCCCAGCCCATTCATAGCAGTTTTTCTATGGTCTATTAATTGGTCCTTTGTGTTCTTAGACAAATAACTTGAAGAAGTCATGTATTAGTGTAGAGAGTGATTTTACATATCCATAGGTGCTGACCGCTCCCATGTGGGTGTGTTCACGGGTATGTGGAACCTACAGTGGGGTGGTAAATAGAGCTAGGTGGAGGGGACTCTTTCTCTTTGGGTTTAGGTTTCGACCTAGAGAGCAGCGTGTGAACCAGCTTCATTGGCTTTTCATGTAAGTGATTTCTCTTTCAATAAATATCATAGGACATGCCTAAATGAGACCTCTCTCTTCTATTGTGGTGTGTGTGTGTGTGTGTGTGTGTGTGTATTCACAAATGTGAGGCACACATCATTGTTGGGGTATGTGTGCACACATGGAGGTACAAGAGGAGGCTTTAATCCCAGCACTCAGGAGGCAGAGACATATGGATCGCTGTGAGTTTGAAGCCAGCCTGGTCTACAAAGTGAGTTCCAGCAAACCCAGAGCTATACAGTGAGACCATGACTCACATAAACAAACAAAACAAGAAATCTATGAGGTCAAGTATGATAGACAGTGGGTAAAGATATTTAGTGTAAAACCTGAGAGCCTGAGTTTAATCTGAAGGACCCACATGGTGGAAAGAGAGAACCAATTCCCACAAGTTGACTTCCAGATGCATGACATAGCATGTATACCCACAGATACACCTCACAAACATACACATGCAGATGGACAGACAGATAGATGTAGATTTTTAAAAAGAAAAGATAACTGTGAGGTCCTAAATATATACTGTGCCTATGTACAAAAGTTCATAAACAGAACTGAGCTAAACTGGAAGTACAAACTAGTTGCACCTAAAGCCACATGGAATGCCAGCTGCAGAAAAAGTTAAAAGTCAAAACAGTGATTTGGTATTCTAAAAACATGGTAAGTCAACTGTTACCCAACATTCAAAAATGTCACTTTTCTCAAAAAGCAACCCTAAGACATAACAACAGTTAGAAACATACAAAATGGTATGGAAGCTAAGAGCCAATCTCAGGATATACTGGGCTATCCTTCACCTGCTACCAAGCCCCACTCCTTTCTAAATCTGATACCCTCAGCAGACTCAGCTCTTTCCAAGGCCAGCACAGAACTATAGAGTAGATTCAGAGGAAAACATTCTGTTTGAGCAGTGTGGTGAATGAGGCCAGCGGATGATGCAAGCTAAGCAAGAGAAAAAGAGGGGCCGATGTACAAATACCTAAAACTCTTTGAAGGCACAGTGGCGAGTGGGGATGACTCACATGCTGGCATTAGAACCTCCCCCTTAGAACACTGGGCCTCTGTTGAGAAAAGAAAAGGAGTCCCCCATGAATAGCATCTCTGCAAAGAGCAGTTATTGTCTCTAAAAAGACACAAGCATGGCTGGAAGCTGGCACCAGATAACAATACGTGGGTTTCTGTAGCCCCAGAACATCATGGGCAGAGGCATGGCCTCCGCTGATGGAAAT